AAGTGGATGGTAAACTAATAACCAAAAACTATATCATATATTGTTGTTGCTGACTATTTTGAGTGGTTACTGAAAGAGATTGAAGGAGAGGATATTCTAGACAGTGACAGATGCAATGCTATGATATTGGGTATGCAAAATATAAATCATGTATAACTCATTATAAACACACTTTTAACATCTACTAAACAAGACTCATGCATACTTACAAACTCTAAAACAACCATGAAGTATTTTCATATTAAATATGCGATGGCTACTTTCATGACTTTTGATAACTCAATTGGTGACTTGGTACGTATGGAATGAACACTCAAATCTATAGGTATTTATGGCTTTATAGCGGCAACCTTCCACACTTTTCTATATTTTTAGAATGCCTCTCATGTTTATCGATTCACTGGATATTTATCACTATATAAAATATCTAGATCTAGAGTATCTCATGTAGAATCTCGCCGATGTTTATTTATTCCCTAGATATTTCTCATGCCAAATATCCTGATATAGAGTATTCTATTGCTGAAGTATGATAATTATGTCTTATGCATACTCACCAATTATCTAGAAAGTTTCTCACATGGAAGTTACCTATTCCATAAGATATTGGAAAGGCAAATGGGTCACACCCCCTAACATTTTTTTCTACTAGAAAATTTCTTTCCTCTTAATAAAACATTGTCTCCTCCTATTCGCACAGGTAGGATTCCTGGGCGCTAGAGTTCACGGTGAACCGGGCATCTTGAGCTTTAGGCAGGCGTAGTGCAGGACAACCATGAACTTCACGTGTAGCAAGCCTAAGCAACGCATGATAGGTGCTCGGGAAGGCTACCACCTTGATGGTGAGTAGCTCCTTATGGAAGTGGGTTGGCTCCCCGGATGTGATGAGTAGTTGGATGCTCCTGAGGGACACAACCTGCAATCCCGTGATGATCCTGTAGAAGGGCACCTTGCTCGGGCGAAGACGGCTCCTCAGGATCTTCATTCAATCTAGGGTGTCCGCATAGAGGATATTCAGCCCACTGGTGACATCCATGATCACCCTCGAGAGACAAGGGAGACCAATAATCGGACTAACGAAGACCAGGAAACATCCTAGGATAGGCATGTGGTTAGGGTAATCGTCTTGACCAAAGGTGATCGGCACCTCAGACCGGCCACCACAGGCGTGAGTGTGTTGCGACCTTGACCGCATTCACCTCCCGCTCGTTGAGCTTCTATCATCGTCAACACTCATGGGTCCTACTCTCCAACGATTATCATGTGGCAGCCTTCCCTTAGAGGGAATTATCGTTGATGCTAGTCTCACGCCGGGGGACGACCTCGGGGGCGCCCGAGTGGAAGGCGCTGTGTTGCTTACCTTGGCCTATGGGCTGCACTAGTCTTATGTTGAACATTGTCGTGGCATTCCGGATTGCATAGAGAAGATCTGGAAAGGTGTTTTGCAAACGGTGGGTAGGCGGGAGCCCCTTTCCTATGACAATATGACGGTGGACATTCGCTAGTGTGTAGAACATCCAATGGTGCTCCACCATGGAGGGGTTTGGGCATAGACTGAGGTGGATCTGATGGGACCGAACCTCTAGTTGGTGAGCCGAAGGTCTGACCGGGGATGACGTCGGGGACTCGCTATCCTCCGATGAAGTTTCCCCGAAGAGATGGAGTTCACAAATGTGGTCAGCGACGTAGGCCAGATTCCCAAAGTGGAGAGCCTGGCCAGGGGCAAAGGCGCTGCCGATGGAGATGATCTCGTAGGAGAAGCGCACGTTGCCTTCAAGGGCGATGGCTTTGCCTCCGGCTCTGGCGGCGAGGTTGGTGGCTCGGGCCACCGAACGGTGGCGATCACACATGACGGGGCTCCCTACTTGGCATTGTTGGTATTTCTTAACACAAACAGAAAGAATCCGCAAGCACACCGAATTACTGTTGTAGCTTTCACCCGGAAGTATTCAGGGTATCGCATTTTCCACAGGGAACAGAGGTACTTCTTCTACCTAATTCATCCAAGGACAACACAAGGGGTAAAGTTGGAAAGGGTGTAGATGGATTCCTATGGCTTTAGGGTCTATTGGATAGATAAACTCTACTTCTACTTGCTTACTTAGGGCACCGGATCACACCTGGTCTACTAGGCGAGGCCGGCCTGTAGCTCTATGTCGTACCCGGACGTGAGGGATTACGAGGGACGAACAAGGCTGTGACCACCTACTGCCTACCCCTCAACCGTGGAGTACGAGGCAAACGAAGGTAGCCTCTAGCCTAGACACCACGTCTACGCTATCGACTACTACTCTAGTGCGTTAACAATGGTTATCCGTCTTTATCAGGGCCCTTCTACTGGAGCATTCGCCGCAAGGGCGAACGACGATCCCACAAACAAGTAAGGATAAAGATTAACTAATCAATAGACTTTATACCAAAGGAATCACGGACACTCACTTAGCGAAAAGCTCCGTTGAGGCACAGATGTTCGTTGAGGTACAAATTCGGGGAGACACCGACAAGTCTGGCTCTTCCCCGTATTCTCTCTCACATCTCTCCCGACTAACTCTACTAGCTATCTAGGGCCTAAGCCCTTAGAATGAAACTCAAGTGTGGTGCTCTTGATCCTTGGTGTGGTGTGTCTAGAATGGGAGCCTTCCCCCTCCTTTTATAGTACTCATAGGGCGGTTTGCTTAGCTATTTTTAGGAAGTACCGCCGCAACCAATCTTGGAGAGGCGGTGGGAAGCAACCGACCAAAGATTGGGCCAAACGGAGCCACTAGGAGGGTGGCCGACCTCGGGGTCCTGTTCGCCCCAAATGGACTCTGATTGAGCCCAATTTGGTGGGTGTCTTCTTGTGGGCTTCTTGATTGGGCCTATGAAGTTTGACATGATTTGGAGGTGGTTTGCTTCGGTTTTGGCCTTTTTACTCCATGTGACTGGGCCCTGATTTGCCTGGTAAGTGGGCCTCCTCCCCTTGGGCTCATGACGGGTGATGTTACGCCTTGTCTTATTGCGCCTTTTTAATGTATTTTCTATGTATTCCATGAATGTCATCCTTCAAATGGTTAAACACCAAAACTTGTGGAAATTATTAGTTCCAAAGCCCTATGTCTAAGCTTGGTGTTATTTTAGCAGTTTTTATATGAAAGTTGGCGGTTAGAAATGTGGGTTAAGCACTGCCAACAGGCCTGCCAGCTGTCGTGGGTTTGTAACCACGACAAGCATCATGTTGTTCGATGAGGGTCGATGTGTGGAGCTCCGGTGGTTTAAGCACTCTAAACACTCAGGGGGACACGAGAGATTTATCCTGGTTCGGACCTCTGAGCCTTACGTCTAGCAGTTTGGTGTTCTTTGTGTTAGGAAAGCTCAAATGAGAGTTCTTACAATGGATGAATCAAGAGAGAGACATGTAGGGGGTAGCGCTATGCTGATCTAGGGTTCGGTTGGAGTCTAGCCCTATTCTAATTTCTAGTGGTCCGATCGGGTCGAATCCAATCCCATCCCCTTCTACGGGAGACCATGCCTCCCCTCATATACCGAGGAGGGCATGGGGTACAGAGCGATGGTTCTCAACCCAGGGCTTCTCGCCTTGGGCTTCGATCTTCCTCTTCCTGGTGCCGCTGGTCCTCCTTTGTTGTGTAGTTGGGGGCTACCAAAACTACAACCACTCCCTGACGACTCTGCTGCAGTCCGATGTTGACTGCTAGGTACTATCTACCACAGCGGTGCCTTCCCTGGGTATGCCTTCTCCTGGCTTCCTTTACTCACCAAACTCCTACCTGGAGGGGCTGCCAAGCAGGCCCAGAGCCCCCCACTTTGTGGGTTTCGGAGACTTTCTTATCCTAACACGTCATGTCCCGGGCGTGACCCTGCCAAGGGAGTGATCGACAAATGACTCACGGCTTTGGAACGGGACACCGTACCATGCTTTTGTGCTTGTCAACCTCTGACAGATTCCAGAGCTGGCTTCTGTCTTGGCCTAGGACGAGTGTTCACCTCAAGCCAAGGTTGGACGGCTACGGGGGCCGCTGCTTGCCCGGGACTCCCTTCCAGCCGGGAATCCCCATGTTATGGCCGAGCCCCGAGCGAGGGCGTCTTGAGTAGGGGCTCGGTCCTCCTTGGCTCGCCCTTCTAGTATTGAAGACTTCCTCCGGAGAGGGCCGTCTGCGGGCTGCCGAGCCATCCCTTTTTTTGCCAGAGGGTGCACGCGAGCGCAGCCGATGGGTGTAGCCCCCGAGCCTCTGGCTAAGTCGGGCAGTTAGCCAGACTGTCGCGTCCTTGATCTGGGGATTTAACATATCCCTATGTTAGACTCTCGTCACATACATAACTTCTCTAAGTACAAGTGGAACCAAGTATAACAAAAACATTGCTTTATGTGTTGTCTTTATGCTCAACTTGTTGGTATGTTGATGTTTAGAATTATTAAGGTATAGGGACCATCAACAACGTGCTAATCTCCTCAAGAACCCTTCTGTGCGCATCAAATTGCTGCACAGAATGACAAAACACAAGGACAACCAAAAACACAACTCACCATCTTGTTTGCTATTGTTCCATATATGAAGTGGTTGCTTGTATGGATGAGTTGGCATTAAAGGCATATGCGTGTCCTTTGATACATTTATGTTGAGATGGACTTTGGTGTCCTAGTGAACTAATTGATGCAAGTATATTGTTTTTGAAAGTTTGAACAGCTTGTGGTTTGATGGATTTAAGCTTAGGTGATATTTTTCATTCATGCGCACAAGGTATTCAGTGATATACTTGTGACAAGTCAACTTGCTGAATTTTTCGCTGCCCCTCTGTTATCACAGGGACGAATGCAGCACAGCAGTAGAATTTGAGCAAAACAAGAATATGCTGCTTGGTTAATAAATTTCTGCCTTTTGGATAGAGAAAGATCTGAGAGTATACACTCAAGTATCATGCACCGAACAACACAAATAGTTAGTGAGATTACTGGATGACTTACAAAATTCGTTGCGATACATTTTGTAAGAGGAAACTGTGACTCATACTTTGGTTTCAGAAAAATAGGTCGACGAAACAGCCAAACCAGCTGAATCGTAAGTTCGGACAAGCCGCTGCCTCTTTCCAGGTGATTCCATCCAACAAAACTCCAAATGAAAAGAATCTAATTGGGCAACAGATTTGCTAATGTCTGACGGATATCCCATGTACATCCCACCAGGTAGCAATGTTATTTCATATCCTCCATCAAACTGAAGCAAGTCGTCATTTGTTGATCCTGTCCAGTTGACCGTTGTTGTTGTGCCAGTTCCGAATTTAGTTGATAAAGTATCCTACGAACAGAAATACCAAAATTCTTATTTACACTATTTTGAAGAAAATATACTACTGTAAATGGGCATTTTTTTTTCTATAAACATGTTCTGATGCAGAGCCAAAGGGTAGGTGGCAAAAGCTTTGCTCAATATTTTTTGGTAATTCTTGTAAAGTAGAAGTTTGATTAAGATAAAGCAAAAGTACAATCATTTTATGCACGCATGAATGGAGGAACAGCTGATTGGGTCCACTGTGCCAAAATATTAGTCAGAATTTTACGATTCAAACAGTGGGATTTTACAATTCAAACAGTGGGATTATGTTTCAAATAGCAACAAGAAGCTCTGAAACATACCTGAATTAATTGGCCATTACTGTCCATTTTGAGAACAATAGCTGTATCTGCCTCAGCAAGTGTTGCTCCATACACCCCACTCCGCTTAGTCACAGAATGCCCCTCCCATCTTCCAAGTAGTGCATTTATCCTATCACTGTTGCCACTCTAAAAGAATGAAAGGTTGGGGCTAATTCAGCAAGATCCAGTCATAAGATAATTATACATGGAGGTTTCAGTGTCCCAATGACTGAACTCACCTTGGTACCAACTGAGTAGTGTTTAAGTGACTGTGGCACTTTAGATCCCTGCCTCTTCTCATGAAAAACAAGAAGTGTGTCAAGCACTCCTTTTGGATCCATTATGTGGAAAGCCCTCATTCGACCATTGCCTTCAAGAGAGTAAAGACAATTTTCACATACAATAGATGGCTTACGAGAAGGTATCTTCAAGTTTCTGTTGAAGAAAAGATAGCTATGTTACACCTAATATAAGAGTTTCACTGGGCAATAAGCAACTAAATTCGTAGCTATCACTTACTTGGGGGATTCTTCACCAGTATCATCTTCTCCAAGCACACCAACCCGAAGGACAGTCTCCAGCATTCCAGCAGTCTGGTACCTCAGAGCAAATGCCTTTTTCTCAGGAAAGAACCCTATCTGTACACTAAAAAATACCACTCATTAACTAAGCCAGATGTACAGAGTTTACAACTATGAGAAAGATGGGATCAAGGGAAAAGTACAGATTTCAGTGCACCTGCTGATATTTGTCCACAGTGAACATGTTCGTCTCTTTGATTTTGTACTCCACCCATTCAGGTTCAGAATCCTCTTCGTCCACAATTGATATTGCAGAGGATGCTTGCTTAATGTACAACCTAAAATCTCAATATGTAAATACAATGATTCAGGCAAATGCAACAAGCAAAAGCATCATGATTGATTTATTGTCACAGACCTTGCACAAACTAGACATATACACATAAGAGCTGATTGAAAAAAGTATGACAACCGAAAATATTCCCAATTTAACATGGATAATGATGATTGTTATCATTATTCACTGGCACCCTGGGAAGGAATATTACGATTGCAGGAGGCTGATGAGGTTGTCCTCCCCGTATGTGCTCACGGACAGCCGCGTGCTAATCTCCTGAAGAACCCTCCCGTGCGCGTCGAATTGCTACACAGAACACAATCACAGGCGCGCACAACACTCAGCCAAATCACGAATCCAGAAACTGCAGAAAGGCTCGAAGATTAGAGGCAACTGGCAAAGAGGGCAGAGCGTACGTAGAACGAGCCATCCCACTTCCCGACGTTGAGGTCGAAGAAGCGATGCAAGTTGTCGATGCTCATGGAATCGTCCTCGTCCACCTCCGGTGGCCCTGCGACGGCCGCGCGGGCGGTGCACAGACGGTCGCGCCGGAATGCGGCGAGGCGTGCAGTGGGGAGAAGCCGGCTGCGGTGGCTCCTAGGCTGCGGGACGGCGGGGGCAGCGACGCGGAGGCCCACGAGGGCTTCTGCCATGGCGAGTGGAGTGGGAGAGGCCGAGAGGGAAGCGGGATAGATGTGCTATAGCTTTGCCTCGCTTCTTGACGTCCTTGTGGGCCCTCGCGTGTCCGTTGTCCGGTTTACCCCCGACACGCGTCGTCGCGGGCAAGGCCGGCGGAGCGGGACGACGGCTGCGCCGGGTCGGAGGCGCGGCGATGGCGGCGCAGGTCGACGGTGGCGTGGGCCGCGCGAGGAGGAGCTCAGGCGGGTCGCGTCGCGTGGCCGCGCGTGGAGCAAGCAGCCGGGGAAGAAGATTAGCACGCTGTGGGAGAAGAGATAGGGTGGAGAGAGAAAAGAGAGAAGAAAAAAAAGAAAAGAAAAAAATTTATGGATATTTCACTCTTTCTAACGAACAAGAGTTGTTCTGTGAAATGGTTCATCAAAACAGATTCAGTTTCACATGTGAAGCTACCTCTCAAGACAAAAGTTGATTCACCGGCGATGCTGAGCTATACCAAATAAGCCCTGTGTCTAGCTGATTTGCGGAGTCTTATCAGGCTATCCGCATATCAAGTTGATGTCTTTTTGCTCCCGTAGCAGAAAAACATGTTTTGTGACATTCAAAACATCAGCAAAAATGTGTCTTTCGGGAAAAGATGTGATCATGTGAATTCATTATTTTTTTATTTTGTTGATTTTGATTCTACCAACTACTCAATATTTTTTCTATATTTATACATAATATCTCTATCTCTACCTCTCTATTTTATTTTTTTTGGAAACGCAGACCCTTATGTGCCTTTGCCTGGAAATCAAACCTCTGTCTCATGTGAACTTGTTGAGCGAGACGGCATAGGCAGTGTTTGGCTGGCATAGTTCGGCTGGCTGGTTTGTTTTTTTTTCCAGCTGGAGCAGTGTTTTTCTCTCACTTCATACCAGCATGAACAGTATTTTCATACCAGGCGAACACTGCCATAGTGTCCAGCAAGGAAACCAAGTAGACCCTAAAGAGTGAAGCGGATTTTTTTAATCCCTTGTTTGCTCACTTTTTTAACTTCTCAAACTGCCCTTATACCTACCATATGTCGTATGTGATCTGGATTCATGGTTCATGACATATGTGATCTGGATTCATGGTTTGTGTTCGTACAAATTAGAACAACTCATATGTCCAGCGAATATTACTTCAAATATTGAATTCGATACAACATATAAAACACGTTTGTTTTTTGAATTTCTCACGATTCAATCGACTTAATGAAGCTCTCTTAAAGTTTGAAGTAATCATTTCTTTTTCATTCCAATTCATATCGTGAAGCTTTGCAAGGATCGAATGTTTTTTTTTGATTGAGCAATCTCCAATCACCTTAACCAAAGTAAGATAGGCCAGTGGACAGACTAGCTATAGAGAATTGTTTCAAAAAGAAAAGAAGATAAATAGTAGATTTGTCCATATTAAAGGACGAAATTATCCCATTCTCTACACAAAAGTAATACGGCGAGCAACTTCCAACTATACTAGGTTCAAACTCTGTACTTCAGTGGTTGGACACAAGTTGCATACCACCACGCTATTATGCCCTTCAGTAATAGCTTAAAAAACTTGTTTTTAACTTGAACTTATTGTATTGGCGGTTTTATAGTTTCACAAAACAATCAAACCATGAACTTATGACGTTGTATATTATGAAAAGTAAGCTAGAAACTCTATTAAAAAAAATAAGCCAGCAAAGGTTGGGAAAAACACATTTCGAGTTGGACGGAGAACATACAAGAAATTATTAATATTTATAATGCATAATAAGTATCATTAGATGAATATAATTTTTATAATAAACATATTAGACGTATATACTTTTATAATAAACATATTTGGAGATACAAAGTTTACTAATATTTTTATAAATCTAGTCAAACTTAATAAAATTTGACCCACACAAAACCCAAAGCGACACTTTTTTAGAAGAGAGAGAGTGCAACACATATGAAATGACAAAAAATCAGTACCAAGTCTTGTATATGCAAAGACCATAACAGGCATAGGGAGAATAGTATTTAAATATACCTTTATATTATCTACTATAATATTATAATATTGAGTGTTTGTATGTTAGGGTCTGTTCGCTTGGAGGAATTTGGAATTTGGATGGTTTGGAGGAATGCTGGAGGAATTTATGAGAGAAAACACTATTCCGGATGGAAAAAAGAAGCGGATCAAGCCGGGTTTAATGGCACGCGAATGGGGCCTTAGACCAACCACTTCCATGTCGAAGAGGTAAAGAATCAGTCTGTAGAGAGCACTTGGTCCTTGCGCGGATAAGGGGAAGTTACACCATTGCGTGGGTGTTCCGATGAGGACTAGTGCCGACTCTCCGATATCTCGGAAAAATATCACCATGTTCATTTTGCTCTTCTTACATTACACATTTACATTTGTGAAATTACTTTGATGTCTTTATATTCTTATAATTATCATCCTAGTGTAGGATTGAAACTAGAATGCAAAACTCTCGTGCGTAAGCTTACAAATATTTTTAGACACAAAGGGTAAAATTGACTAAGTAATAGGTTTTAATTTTCCGAGAATTTTAGATTATTTCAATTCACCTCCTCTCTTGACATCTTGACCTTTCAATATAGTATATATACCACATCTTGTTGATATTAGTGTGGGATGGTTTCGCTTTCCATACGTGTTTTCCGTTTTCCGTTTTCCGTGGACTGCGATTTCGTCATAGCAAAACTTACGGTGTCCTTCAAAGCCATGGGCTTCTGGTCTTCAAATTCCCAAAAGAACACTTTACCATCCGTACTGCAGCACAGTGATTAGTTTGCTTTTATATTTATAACATGGCTTGTTTTGAACCCAATGAATTTGCAGAAGAGTTTTACACTGCTGATACTACTATTCCTGTATTTGAGTAGCTAATCGCACTTATCCTGCCGAGATGACATTCAATCCTGCAATGTATAGATATAAATATAAATGTTCACGTAACTCCAACATAGAAAATGTCAAGGTAACATTCATAGGTTTCTCCTAATACATGTTATTTGAGTTTTGTAACATCTGTTCTCAAGAACATTCCAGTTCACATCTTTTACGACTTATAATAACTTAAATAAATTATCAAATGTGCTATACATTAAAGATGTGAATTGGTTATCATAAATTATTACTTGAAATGTCGGCAACAACTGCCTCACTTGGGCCATCGAAGTCGAGATCAAACTCGATGGCATGTGACTCAATGATGAGCGCACAAAACCTGATAAAGCAAAGGTATTGCACTTTCTACAACACCATTTACACCCTGAGTATATGACTGAGGACGATCCACTGGTTTTATGGCAGTCCCTAGAACAACCGCTGCAACCAGCAGCAGTCAATTGTGCTCTCCAGAGCACAACAAGACTGGATCGTCTTACGCTTCCAAGACTTTAAGTCTGTGGCAGCATACAACTCTGCTTTACACAGGATTGTGTCGAGACTGCGTCTATGTGGCCAGAAGATCACTGACACTGATATAATTGAGAAAACTTTTTCTACCCTCCATCCTGACAACATAGTACTGCAACAGCAATACATGAACTCAAAGTACTCTAAGACAGTATTATTAGTTGTAGAGCAACAGAATGAGGTCTCATGAATGATCATTCTACTCGGCCCATTAGTTCTATGGTTGTGGCCGGCGTACATGCTAATGTTGCTGAGAGTTCTCGCAACCGCAAAAGAGGCTGTGGAAAGGGAGAATGGAAGGGAAAACGAGATGCCATGTTCAAAGATAATGGAAAGGGAAAGCCTAGGGGTAAAGGTGAACCCAAGAAAGTCACAGGTGAAACATCTGAGCAGCAGGATCACTATTGTAGATGTGAAGGCACAGGGCATTGGTCCCACAATTGTAGTGCCCTGAAACACCTAGTTGAGCTCTACCAAAGTCCTTCCAGAAGCAAGGACAAGGAGAGTCAACAAAAGTCTCACTTGACCACTGAGCCTGAAGCTCGGGAAAGCGATGACATGTTGCCGATACGAAGGGAAACGGTGCCACATCCAAATGGACGAAAGTGAGGACAACCTTCGTAATGATGACTTTGATATATTTAGGGACCTGCAGTAATATCTAAGATATCATGTTAGTCATAATGCAATGTCTGCATGTACTAGTAAGTTTGGCCATACACGCTCCTGAAGAGCATTTGTAACATGTTGAATGGCTAGGCATGCTCCTGAAGAGCATTTATTGCTCTAAAGTTATGAATATTGGTTTTTCCTTTTACAATACAAGCGAAATCCCTAAATTCTCATACCTCGTGGGAGCCCAAATGGCTGAAGCTGAGACTATGGCTAAAGCTGAGACTATCCTGTAGACAGCGACACCACCAATATAATATTAAGGAAAACTAGACATTTCGAAACATTGATTAAGAAAAATGGAAATATCGCCAATTGCGCACAATTCTTCGACTAATGTCATCTGTTGGTTCTTCAATCCGGATTTACTTGCTCCATACATCTGGAAAAACAATACCTTGAACTTTTGGAAGCTTGACACGACAAAATGGTTTTTACTTGGGTGCCATACACTACAAGAGATGTCCACAAAATCGAGTGCTCTCAGCACCCGCTGTGTCTCATCACGGTTATTTGACTTTGCAGCAATGGAAAGAACTTCAGTGTAAAAATGTAGCCATCTTTATTCAAAGAAACACTTTTTATAACTTGGTTCCATGGACCCCATTATTATGTAAAAAAATATTGATTTAGTCACCAACAAGGATAGGATAAATGTTTAAGTTTTATACCAAAAAGTCTAAACTTCTAACTTTTTTATCTAAAGTTCTAATTTTGTTTCTTATTTATTAATTAACTCCAAAACTTACATTTATTTTTGTGATGTATTCAAATGAGCCTTTATCCTCGTTGTACTCCCAGAGTATTACTCTCGAGTTGCAGTCTCCTATAGCAAGTATTTTTTCATCAGGGCACCAAGCACATGTGCTAATTGACATCCCTAATTTATTCTCTAATCTCTAAA